TGGAACACTAAAGGATGGGGGGGATTTTGTAACCATTGCTGTTTTCAAGGATCACAATGATTGAGTGAAGTTCAACATTGTCAGCAGGAACCTGGGGCCAGGAGCAGGGCAGCCAGAGGTGCTGGAGACCAGACTGCTTTGTGCAGAGACTGCAGGCCTAGGGAGCAGGCCCCACTCCAGGCTCCCTGAGGAGGGGATAGGATCTGGAGGAAGATGATAGCCTTCAGAGAGGCTCCCCTACAAATGCCGGGGTCTTTAGGTGGGGAAAAGCTCAGAGGGCAGAGTGTAAGCCCAGGCCCAGAGCCAGCTGAGCCCCCAGGCCCCATGGCTCAGGGGACCACAGCAGCAGGGGCCCAGGGAAGCAGCTGGCAGGTGCCTGGCTTTGGCCTTTGCACAACCCACTCTGGGTGAAGGAGTCGGGGCCAGGGTGGTGGCCCCGTTTGGACAGGCAAAGAGAAAGGGGGAGAGAAAAGCTCACCTTCTGCTCTTTCCAGATTATCTTGCTCAGGGGGAGAGGACTTGTTCCCCGACCAACCTGAGGGTCAGGTTGCTTTTTCTTGTGGCTCAATAATGAGATGCAGATGAATTGGGGAGGAAGCGAGTTTTTATTTCTGTAACTGGTTACTGAGAGAAGGCCTGGAAAATATGGCCAGACCAACTCAAACTTGCAAAGTTCTGCAGAGCTTATATCCCTTCTAAGCTATATGTCTACCTATAAGTGTGCATCCATCTAAAAAGACGTAAGTGATTAACTTTTGTTTTTTTTGAGACAGAGTCTCGCTCTGTTGCCCAGGCTGGACTGTGGTGGCACGATCTCGGCTCACTGCAATCTCCACCTCCCGTGTTCAAGCGATTCTCCTACCTCAGCCTCCCGAGTAGCTGGGATTACAGGTGTGCACCACCACGCCCATCTACTTTTCACGCCCATCTATTTTAGTAGAGATGGGGTTACACCATGTTGACCAGGATGGTCTCGAACCCCTGACCTCGTGATCCACCTGCCTCAGCCTCCCAAAGTGCTGGGATTACAGGTGTGAGCCACCGCGCCCGACCGGTTAACTTCTTTTAATCTATAACTAAGATCTGAGTCCTGAGGACCTCCCTCTGGAGCCTCAGTAAATTTATTTGATCTGAATGGGTCCGGGCGCTGGAGTGATTACCCTTGTCTTGTCTCCTGCTAAGTCATGGAGGTTTGCGGAGTTCCATTATTCCCCAGTAAAATTTGTTTGTGGAGGCCTGGTGAGTTTCTTCAGACCCTCAGAAAAACGTATTTAATCCTAAACGGATCTTGTTCAGAACTCTTTCATTGGCTTGTCGTGTCATTCACGGCCCGGGAAAGGCCTGGGCAAAACTCTTGGTGGGCTTTTGTTACATTCCAGCCTTTGTATAAGGGCGCTGGCTCTTTCAGCTTTTAATATTTAACTTCACCACTCGGTCAGGGCTGAAACAGTTGTTATGGAGGCTGCATGAGTGATACCTGACCTGTCACAGATTGAGGGCTGGCAAAAAGCGGCCCCCAGGGGTCTCAGTTTTCTGTGCCAGGCCCTGCTCCTGTGTCTGGCAGCCAGAGGGCCCATTCCCAGAGCCCTCCTAGGGCCAGGCTGCCCGGGGCGTGGTCTTCCTCCTGGCACCCTACCATGGGAGGGGCCGGGAAAGCAACTGCTCTGTGCCATCTTCATCATCAGGAAAAGGAACGCGCCACACGGCTCACCGAGAGCAGGTCATCCCAGGCCAGGAACAGGTGGAGGCCAGGAGTCCAGAAAGGCCACAGAGCGGGGCTGGAGCCTGCAGGAGAAGCAGCAGGGGGTCCCGGCCATGCCCCTAGGTTGGACTTGTCATTCCCAACCAACTGCGATGGCACACAGACTTCCCTTCCAAGGCGGTCAGTCGGCAGCCAATTACTACTCGGATGAGCCTGAAATGAATACAACACATGCTGGCCCTCCACGGACCTGGGGGTGCCATCCATAGGAGGCCAGGGCACAGGCCTGAGGACGGCGCTCCTGTCAGCCCTCTCTGCTCAGGGCCAGACCTGAGGATGGGACCCCTGTTAGTTCTTTCTGCTCAGGGGAAAGGCCCGAGGATGGGACTTCTCTCCATCCACTGTGCTCAGGAAACAGACGTGAGGACCTAAGTCAGTCCCCACTGCTAAGGGAAACAGCTAAGGCCATGGCCTGTCAGCCCTGTCTGCTCCAAGACAACCGGGGACCAGGAGTCTTCTCAGTCCTCTCTGCTCAAGGGACAGACCTTAGGTCGTGACCTCACTCAGTACTCTCTACTCAAGGGCGATTCATAAAGGGACGCCTCTCCACGTGCACGTGTTACTCAGCAAACATGAGAACAGGAACTCTCTCCTTCCCCTCAGCTCAGGGGACAGGCCCGAGGATGGGACCCCTGTCGGTCCATCTTCCAAGGGGATAGATATGAGGACAGGACCTCTCTGGGTCCCCTCAGCTCAGGGGACAGGCCTGAGGATGGGACCCCTCTCAGTCTTGTCTGTTCCCAAGGACGGGACCTCTCTGAGTCCTCTCTGCTCAGCTTCACCCGCCATGACTGGGCTCTGATCCGGCTCCCTCATCCAACTGCTGAAGCTCTCTGTGAGCCCAAGAGGCTGCTGCTTATTGGATGGGCTTGGTCAGTCCTTGGGCGCCCAGGAAGGCACCTTGGTGGACCTTTCTGTCCCCAGGCCACCCTCCCCCCAGCCAGGGGCACTTGGTGAGGACTGTGCAATGAAACACATTGCATGGTGGGAGCTGTGCAAGCCGGTACGCGCCGCGGGCCTATGGGGATGAAGGCGGCGGGAGACCCCCGGCGTGGGGCCCGCCCTTCAGGCCCAACACAGTCTCCTTGCTCCGGGCTGGTGGGGAAGCAACTGGTTCCTCCCGGTACCTCCTTCCAGACTCCCTGGCTAGATCCCTTCCAGGGTTCACGACCCAACTGTCCAGCATGTGTGCTCGCATGCTCAGTGACACACAGACACACACATTCACCGACACGCTCACGTTCCAGAGACATGCACACACATTGAGTGACTCGCTCAGATCAGTGACACACATGCTCACACACATTGACACATACATGCTCATTGACCCACCCACATTTGCAGTCAGCACACTCACAATGACTCGAAAACTCACACACACACACTGACACACATTCAGTGACACACTCATGCTCTCGACACACATTCAGTGACATGCACGCTCACATTCAGTGGCACACACTCATTCCCACACACACTCCCACTCACGCAGGTTCAGTGAGGCAGTCACATGCTGTCACTTACATTCACGCACACACATTTTCAGAAACGCACGCACGTGTGCACTCACACACACACAATGACCAAACACACCCGCTCACTCACACTCACGCCTGCTGGGGAATCACGGCACACACAGGGCCACTCTGAACAGGGAAAACCAAGGAGCCCCGACAGGCCCTAGCAAGGTCAACCAGTCTCTATCCTCTTTCCTCTCGTCCTGCCCCCCAGATCTGCAGGGGCCCTTGGAAAGTGAGTGGTTGGCTTGGCCCTGCTCAGGCACACGGGACAGACATGCTGGGGATGTGCCCAGCCTGAATAAGGCAGGGAGAGCAGAGCACAGTGAGGGCCCCAGGCATGCCTGCAGGGTACCCCATGGGACACACTCCAAGGGTCCGTGAGACACTGGTCAAGTGCCTTCAGGCCGAGGAGGGTGCAGGCCCGGCCCCAGGGACCTGCCGCCCCCTACCCCTCACACACAGCCCTGCAAAACTACCGGTCCCAGGCCCACAGTCGTTCGGGTACGCCCAGGGTCTCCCAGGGCCCCTGCCGCCCTGCAGCTCTGCTCAGACAGGTCGCCTACATGCAGGTTTCCTCGGGCCAGGGGGACAGCCACCCACGCCCAGCACTGGCTCCAAGGCTGCTTCGGGGGATCCTGGCTGTCATCTGAGCCTTGTGGATGGTCCGAGGCTCTGTGCTCCAGAACAGCCGGATGAAGCGTGTGGGCGCAGACTGAGCGATTCCCGGGAGACCCTCGCCACCTTTGAGTCCATGATCCTGTCCCCTCCTTGCACATGTGCAGGGAGAGGCCTATCACCTGTCCCAGTCCCTTCCCCCGCAGACTCTGGGTTAGTTAAATGGCTGATCCAGGAGTGCCCTCAATTTGTGGGGATCTCACTGGCCCGTTGGGGGAGAGAGCCAGTCCCAGGAGGGCTCAGGAGGGCAGGTTCCAGGATCCTCAGGTCCCCACCAAGAATTGTCCCTCTGGCCACAGTGCTGAAGGAGGGGTGTTCAGATTAGCAGCACCGTCCCCCATAGGGGAGCCCTTCTCAGGCAGCATCCAGGGCTCAGAGGGCTTTGGGGATCCAGGACAGAAAGGGGCCACTCACCAGGGCCGTCTGTGCCTTCTGCTCATGGCCCACTGCCCACTCCCCGGACACAGGAGTGGAGCCACTCCCAGCCCAGTAGGAAAGGAGCTGGACAGGACCCAGGATGAAGTGTAGGTCTCCCTGCCCTTCGCCTACCCCTACCCGAGACATGAGTACTGTGGGATCCCTGCCTGGCCCACACTTTGTCCCTTGGCCAGCACACACACTGTCCCCAAACGTCCCTCGGTGACTAGGCCAAGGCTGGCCACCTGCCCCCTGAAGTAGAAGGATGGGCACACAACAGCCCCTCCCCCACCCGCTTGTGCAGGCCGTTCTGGGGTTCTTCCCTTTGGTTGCTGGCCCAGGGTAACACACATGGCCTCTCTGCCCCTTCCAAAAGCCTTGAGCCACAGCCCTATAGTAGTGCCAGGGATCAGGGGCTTGGGGACCCACCTGCTGCTCCTTTGATGTCCAACCCACTTATTCCTGAAGGCACTTATGCCTTCAGTACCCAACCAGTCACTGCTCGTGACCACCAGCTTCCTGTTGCCAGGCTCCATGCAGCCGAAGGAACCCCACAGGCCCTCACGGACCCTGCCCCCAGCACACCACCCCCACCCCAGTTTCACACAGCAGAGGCAAGACACTGCTGAACACTGATGGAAATTTATTGAACAGAAGCATGTAACAAAAGTGCAGAAGAGAAGGGAATCTTAACAGAGAAACTGCAAACAGCTGCCACAGGTCCCAAGTCCCAGGCCCCCTCCCTCAATGTGGGCCCCCTGGCACATCTCTCCTTCCAAGGACAGGGGACTCTGGCTAGATCTACTCGCTTCAGGTCACCCCCTCCTGAGCCCACCCACCTGGGCGGGGCACTGCCCTACGGCTTGCACAGGACAGTCACAGGATGCTGGAAAACACAGCAGGGAACACCACTCCAAGCTGAGGAAACTGAGTCACAAATAACAACAGGGGTGGAACACAAAAGCACAAAGTTTCCCGGGAGCCTCAGGCAGCCCTGTTCCGTCCCAGGTCCACTTCATCCTCCTGCAGTCGAGGTAACAGTCACAAGGTGAGCATCTGCCATCCTCCTTCCCACTGTCTCCCGGAACTGCACTGGGGTACGCTGCAAAGGAGCTGCTCAAATAAGAACACACACATCCCCAAAAGAACCAGCAGTCCCTGGCTGAGATCCATGCCAGCAAAAAGGTGGAGCTCATGACACAGAACAGCAGCACAAACTGGGCCCAGCGACGATGCAAGCCAAAAACTACCCAACCCCAAGTCCCCCCTTCTCCTCCTCCTCCTGTTCCTCCTTATCCTCCTCCTCCTCCTCCTGATCATCCTCCTTCTACTTCTCCTCCTCACTGGCGCAGGGGTTCGTGGGTGCTACCTTCCTGGGGCTCTCCTAGTGCAGTGTAGATGATCCTATAGACGGGCTGAACCCTGCGGCCCCCCCTGCGGGGCTTTACCTCTCTGCCCCACAGCTCTTCCTCACCAGCCCTGGCTCCTCGCAGGGGTGGGTCCCAGGCAGGCTCCTCCAGGTCCCACATGGCCTGGGAATTGAAGTCCACAGAGTGGGTATTTGGCGGTGACCAGTTGAGCGGGCCAGAGCCTTCAGACACACCTTCTTCAGCCCCTGCTATGTTGGGGCCCCCATCTAAAGCCCAGGCACCCCATGTGCTAATTGTAGCGGCTCCCCGCTTGTGTCTCCTGTACCTCTTAGGGGCCATGGGCCTGGCCCCCACTGAACCACATGCTATTTGGTCTTGGTTGGTAAAGTCCCTTCCAATTGGTAGAAAGCAAGGGGACTTGGTCTCAATCTGATTTCCCCATCCCTCTGCCCCAATCAAGTTCCCTATTTGTGTAAGCTGTCCTTTCCCCTTGTTAAAATGTCCCTGCTGCATGCCAGGGGAAGGAGTGCCTAGGTCTTGTGAGCCTATGCTTGCCAGGGCTTGGGATGGCTCATCGCCCCAGCCCTGGCGTCGTTTCCCGACTCTGCTCCTGTGGCCTGTGGCCCTTCCCCGTCTGGAGTCTGGTTTTCCTCCTTGGGACTGATGGCCTGGCCGCAGTCTTCCTCCCCAGGGCTTTCAGTGCATGACAGCCGCCTGCGCTTCACTAACGGGGCTAAGGCTCCCTGTATGGTCTGGGTGCTGCTGTCCGTAAAAGACCCTGGCTGCACAATGACCTGAGGGGCAGACACACTGGCTTCTGCTCTTGCCTGTCTCCCCCGGCTTCTCCCTGAAGGCTTCTGCTTATCCTTAATCACTGCTGTAGTGGTCTCCCACTCCTCCTCATCTCGAATGAGCTTCATTAACTCCAGAAAAGTGGGAGGACACCCTCGCTGATCCAGGAGCTGCAGCTTGCCCCGGAGGGAAGCAGTCATGGAGACCCGAGCTAAGATATGTTTCAGGCGAATCATGTCTGTGTTGCGCACTGACATGGGGCTGCGATACACAGCTTTCTGCAGCAGGGGCTCTAAACGCAGCAGGAAAGCCGAGACTTTCTCTCCAATCTTTGGACAGGTCTGCAGAAACCTAAACTGGGAGGTTCTAATGTCCTCTTTATCCCCAAAGATCTGCTTTAGGGCGTCAAGGCACTGCTCCACAGTTATGGAGTCATTGTTGGCTCGGAGCATCCGCATGATTGACAGCGCAGGCCCGCGTAAGCTCTCCAGCAAACGCCGCCTCTTCTCCATTTCAGACACTTGCCATATGGGCATGATCTCAGTGACCTGCTCCAGCCAGACCTCAAAGGTCTCTTCCCCTGGGCTAGGGAAAGCAGTTCCCGAAAACACTTTCAGTTTCCGGTACCACATACTTTCTTTCAGAGGCTCCAAAGGTGGGGGTCTAACTTGGGGCAGGACCTCTGCCTCCAGGCTCTCGGCAGGGAAGCCACCACATCCCAGGGCTCTGGCCACATCTATCATTCTCCGGCCCTCATCTTTCAGGAAGTAGTTCAGTCTACTGAGAAACTCGTCATCTGGGTTACGGGGCTTTACCACCACCTCCCAGGAGCCCCCCCTTCCCGGTATCTCACTAGGCAGAGTAGTATAATCGACAGTGTCAGCCAATTCAATGAAGACTGCCTTAGCATTGTCTTCCCTCCTGAACATTCTCCCCACCACCCTGTACGCGCACAGGGGCTGCAAGCCTGCCTTCACAGTGTCTGTAATTTCCGCCTCACTACAGTCCACGGGGATGCCCACGATCAGCAGGGCCTTTCTGGGATCCATGTCCATCCCCTTGCACCAATCCTCTAGCAGTGTTGCCGCCATTACTCCCACTTTCTAAGGACCGACAATCAGCTCGGTTTGACAGCACTCAAAGGATTCTGAGCCACTGCCACGTAGGAAGGCAGGAGTGTCACAGGTTTCCACAGCCTGCAAAGCAAATGGGATAAGAGCATTGCTAATGCCCACCCCAACGTATACTCCCAAGTGCCCCTCCCTCTGCCCCCACCCCCAGCAGGGATGGAGTCCCTGCTACCCAAGGCTCAAGTCATTGTGTGGAGAACAGAGTGTGGTGGGTCTCCCCAGGCAAAGATCCCCCCACCTCACCACACTCCCTGCTGACCTCCTCCTGCTGTGGGTTCCTCCTCGATGTCCAGAGGACTCAGCCGGGTGTGCTGCAGGTGCCTGTAGTGAAAAGGCCAACGTCAGGAGGCAGGGCCTGACACCTGAGGACACTGACAAGCCCTCCAGGCAAAAGTCAGGAGACTGCCCCACTGCTCACTCAGGGCTATGTGGGCTCAGGTCACCTGGCACCCTCCTTGCTGGAATGGAAGTGAAGGCTGGCTGCAGGAGAGGTGGAGTGGCCGTGTTTCTCAGGAAATGCCTGACAGAGGAGAAAGATGGCCGGAGCTCTGCGCAATGAAATGAGTGGTGGGTGTGGAGATTGTGTGAGAAACTGCAGTGTTGCCATGGATACAGAGCATACCATGGACCATGGGTTGCTATTGTATGGTAGTGTCATGTGGTGAGGCTAAGGCCCTTGAGAAGCAACAGGTGATGTCATCGGTCTTCATCCAATACAGCATCCTAGCAACAAGGAGGGTAGGTGAGGAAAGGGGAGGTAGGCATGAGGAGTGAGTGCTCAAAGAAGGACAGGAGTTCATGGTTTAAATTGTGTGGAAGGTGAAATCGGGCAGAAAAGGGACGCAGATAAGGTCCCTACTGCCAGACTGCAGGAAACGAACAACTCTTGCCCTAGCGATGGCCCTATCCTGCAGAGTTTGCGAACCCTGCAGTGAGTCCTGTCTCCTCACTCTTTGCCAAGGTTCCAGAGTCCCTCCCACCAGAGCCCACCTCACAGCTGCTCACCTTGCTGGGCTGGCTCTGCTAGCAGCGTGGAAGCTGCAATAACAGCCACTTCACACTTGCTGCGCTCTTCAGCTCTGTCCAGTTAGGCAGCTACTGAGTTAGCAGTGACGGGTCTTGCTTCTCTGGATCTGTCCAAGGCAAAGCAGAGGTATTTTGTTGTGATTGTGTCCCACACACACGTCTCTGCTCAGGCCACGGCAGTTGTGATTCTGCAAAGGTGTCCAGTAGTACTCTGGCGCAGCCACAGAAGAAACTGCTCAACTGGCAGAGGGAGGAGGAGGGAGGAAGGGGGAGGGGTGCGGAAAGAGGGAGTATGGGAAGGAATGGTGAGGGAGGTGGAGGGTGGGGGCTGGTGGGGGCTGCTGATAGGACAGAAGGGATCGTAGGATAAGGTTGTTGTCCCACCCCCACTGCAAACTCTACTCGCTCCAAAGCTCCGCCCCTGCAGCCATGTTGTCCGAAGCTCCGCCCCTGCAGCCATGTTGATCGGAAGCTACGGCATTGCAGCCATGTTGCATCGCTTAGCTACCTCACCATAACCACCACACGTTGCCAAGGTCCACGTGCGTACACCTAAGATCCACCTCTACCGCAATCCCAACCAGCACGAAATCCAACCCATTTCCCCACCCACGTCTAACTCGTGCTTCAACCCTGCCCCCACCCACGTCTGTTACCTCAACCCTGCCCCCACTCACAGTTGAACTCGTGCCTCAACCCTCCCCCCACCCATGTCTAACTCCTACCTCAACCCTGCCCCCACCCACAGTGGAACTCGTGCCTCAACCCTGCCCCCACCGACGTACAACTCGTGCCTCCAGCCTGCCCCCACTCGCAGTCGAACTCGTGCATCAAACCTCCCCCACACATGTCTAACTCCTACCTCAACCCTGCCCCCAACCACAGTCGAACTCGTGCCTCAACCCTGCCCCCACCGACGTCTAACTCGTGCCTCAACTCTGCCCCCACTGGCAGTCGAACTCGTGCATCAAACCTCCCCCACACATGTCTAACTCCTTTCTCAGCCCTGCCCCCACGCACAGTCGAACTCGTGCCTCAACCCTCCCCCCACCCATGTCTAACTCCTACCTCAACCCTGCCCCCACACGCAGTCAAAGTCGTGCATCATCCGTGCCCCAATGTCTAACTCCTACCTCAATCCTGCAGGCACCCACAGTCGAACTCGTGCCTCAACCCTGCCCCCACCCATGTCTAAGTCGTAACTCAATCCTGCCCGCACCCAGAGTCAAATCCGTACCGCAATGAGTGACCACTCACGAAGCCCAACTACTTACGCCATACAAGTCTAACCCCCTGTACCGAAATCCAGTACGTCCGTTCCCGTTTCCCTCCATCTCTACCCTGTTATCTACATAAACCAACTACCAGCACCAGTGGAAGGCGGCAGGATCTAGGAGAGAAGATCCGAAGCCGCTCTTCTGCACGGACAAGGGTCAAGAGTTGAGGGTGGAACAGGCCTCCAGAAAGTATTTTTTAATTTGTTTCTTTTTGAGACGAATAGTCTCCCTTTGCTGTCCACGCTGGAGTGCAGCAGGCATGATTTCGGCTCAGCATAACCTCCGCCTCCAGGGTTCAACCTATTCTCCTGCGTCACTGTCCTGAATAAATGGAATTACAGGTCCCCAACACTATGCCCGGCTAATTTTGGTATTTTTAGTAGAGACGGAGTTTCACCATCTTGGGTAGGCTATACCTCCTCACCTAAAGTGATACACCCGTCTCGGCCTGCCCAGCCTAAGGTCTCCCAGAAGTTCTGCCTGGAAAACTATGGATAGCAACTCCTAGGCCCTGTGGAAAATAGCAAGTTATTGGCGATATACCCCCTAATCTAGGTTGCTTTGTATGACCAGGCCCAGCTCCGTACCTGTCAGAAAGGCCTGTAAGCTGGAGTGATCGCGCAGCGCGACCACCACACGTCTAAGGCGGCTGCCGCCTCTGTGCCGAATGCGCCTCCAGGCTATGACAGGAAGAGGTTGTCTGGTAACGCCTCCCCGCCCAGCGGAAGTGCACACGGCCCACTCACAGTTGCGCACTAGTGACATAAAGCATTCTATTTCCCGCGCCAAGCAACTCCTCACCCCCACCCCACCAGTTCGAGCCCGCACTTTTGAGAACATACAATACAAACAGCTGGCAGCCATTTCCATTACAGACTAGATGCCTGTACTTTACTGGCTGGACAACGGTAGCACCAGTCTCTTCATACACGCCACATGTACCCAATAGGCCACATGACTACACGTACTACCTCAACATCACAGATCCTGTTAAAGGCTGTGGCGGGAAGAGGTTTTTGGGTGATGACCCCCACCCTAGCAAAACTTCACACGGCTCTTTCACATTTGTGCAGTGGCCACATAAACCTTCCTACTTCCCTATCAAGAATTCCTTACCCCACCCCAACCCTTGCCAGACTGTGCCGGCCTGCGCCAACCTTCACCTTTGAGGAAATACAATACAAACAGTTGGGAACTACTTCCATTGCATACTAGCTCGGAAGTCTATAGTTTACTGACTGGACGATGGCGGCAGCTATTCTCCCCACTTGCCACGTCACCCAGCAGTCATTCTGTTTCTTTCCCGTGGGAGGGGAGCTATGCCGTACCAAGCCGTGTGTGAAGGGCCAGGTGCAAATCACCGAGTACAACATATAAGCCATGTGTAACAAATAGGCCAAGTGAGCGTGTGTACTACCTGAAAGTCACACACCCCTTTTCAACCTGACGCGGGAAGAGGCTATCGGGTGATGACCGCCCCCTCCCCCACTGTAACTCCACACAGCCCACTCACAGTTCCTCACCTATGACACAAACCCTCCTACTTCCCATGCGACGGGTCCTCACCACCCCACTACCACCCGTGCGAGCCTGTGCCAGCCCGCACCTTTTAGAACAGACAATAAAAACAACTGGGTGCCACTTCCATTGCAGACTACCTCCCACGCCTGTAGTTTACTAGCTAGACGACGGTGGCACCCAGGCTCTTCATTTACCATGTGTCCCAGCAGCCATTGTGGTTCTTTTCCACTGGAGGGGAGCTGTGGTGTCCCAAGCAGTGTCTGAAGGACCTGGTTCACATCACTGGGTGCAGCATATAGGCCACGTATAATGAATAGGGGGTGTGAGCCTACTTACTACCTGAAACTCATAGCACCTGTGTATTTTTTATTGGACTGCGTTCTGGGGTAGGAAGGTAAAAAATACAGCTACGGCCTGCATTTCACAAGGCCATAATTTTTTTTTTCTGCTTACTTAGAGCCAGATGACTGAAAATACTCTATTCTCCCATTATTCTCCTGATTTCACGGCCTACTTCAAGATGCACACAAATACCCTGGCAATCTTTAAAAAATGCAAGTTCTCAGTGAGGAGGCCTAGTGCAGGACTGATTCTGCTGAAAGCCGGGTGACTTGCTGCCTACCCCTGCCCAGGCTGTGTGTAGCAATGGTCTGAAGGCTATGATTACGCTTCAGGGCCAGAAGTTATGGACCTGTGGTGAGAGAATATATGTGTGTTTCTTTATTAGTGATTAAAAAAAGAGCAGCTTCTTGGGTAATGTTTTAATAAATGTCTTAAAAACAGAAAACATTTTACATTGAAGGTCACTGAGCAAGACATTTGCAGACACCACCTTCTTCACCCAGGTATGGTGGCTCAGGCCTCTAATCCCACCACCTCGGGAGGCTGAAGTGGGCAGATCACTTGAGATCAGCTTGGCCAACATGGCGAAATCCTGTCTCTACTAAAAATCCAAAAATTACCTGGGTGTGGTGACGCAGGTCTGTAATCCCAGCTACTCAGGAGGCTGACGCAGGAGAATTGCTCGGAACTGGGAGGCACAGTTTGCAGTGAACCCAGATCATACCACTGCACTCCAGCCCGGACGACAGACACAGATCCTGCCTTTAAAAAAAAAAGGGATATCGTCTTCTTCCCCTTTAACTGCAGAAATTCCTGATGGCGGAGACAGGAAAACACAGACTTCCATATTCCGTACTGGACAAAAATAGACAATTGACAGCCCATTAAATCAATCTCCTTCATGTGACAAGGGGAAAAAGTGCTGGAAGCCACTGCCTAGCTACCTGGTATCACAACATCACAGAAGCTGAAGCCTTGGAAAGAGGTTCTGCCTCACAGTCACCTCTGGGATACTGACTGCTCCCCTGACCAGACATGTACTGCAGCTCATTCTACTTCTCACAGGAAGACTACATTCTTCTCCTTTTTTTTTCTATCTCGGTCTGTTTTGTCCTTCTATAATCAAACACCTGAGACCAGATAACATATAATGAGCAGAAATGTATTGTAGCTCATGGCTCTGAAGGCATCATCCCATCACAGAACAAGAAACCATGTGTCAGAGTGAGCAAGAGAAAGAGAGGAAAGGGGCCTAAACTCTTTTTTTAACCAGGAACCCACTCCCACAATAACAAACCCACTCCCAAGATAATAGCATTCATCCATTCACACTGTCAGAGTCCGCATCACCTAATCAGCTCTTAAAGGTTCCACTTCTCAACAGTTGCATTGGGGATTAACTTTCCAACACGTGAACTCTGGGGCACACATTCAAACTGTAGCACTTTCCTAAACCCGTTATTGTGGCGTTGGGCGCGGTGGCTCACACCTGTAATCCCAGCATTTTGGGAGGC